AACAATGTTTAAACAATGTTCTATTAATTCGTGCGTTCCGGGGTGTGAACGATGAACGAGAAACGCCTCTATTATTGATTGATTGATGGGTGGGGAGAGCGGGGTGTGTTCGGTTCGATTGTCGTTGTTCGTTGTGCCACTTTTTGTTTGCAAAAGATTAGAGGCATTAAAGTGCAAATGTTTTGTTTAGCCGCTTGACGTTCTTTGCAATTAGCAAATTAGGGTCGTTGTGTCAATAGGGCAATTAGAATTAACACAAAACAATGAAAGTCAATAATGGATGGGATATATTGATGACTTGTTGATTCCTAGAGAAAAATAAACATTACGTTTGTGCTTAATTAATTTATATTGAAAATGTGGATTTTTTTATAAATGTGGATGAGATATTATTGAAAATTGAAAAACTCGAAAGGGCAAAAATTGGACCGATTTTCACCAAAATTCATCCTATTTGAGCTAGTATAACACTTTTGGGAAGTATATTCAATTCTGAACCGGAGTGCATATTACGGCTGTGGGTAAAAAATATAACAAATCGGATGAACAGTACATATGGGTGCTATAGCTATATCTGAACCGATCTTCACCAAATTTTACGTTTGGTGCACAATCAAAGGTAAATCGGACGAAGTTATATGTGGGAGCTATATCCAAATCTGAACCGATCTCGATAAAATTTAGCAAATCTATTTCTGAGCTATATTTGATATATTTCCCCAAATATTTTTGTTACAGAGTGCATATTACGGCTGCGTAGTACAAAAATAACTAATCGGATGAACAATATATATGGGAGCTATAGCTATATTTGAACCGATTTCCATCAAATTTGGCATACTTATTTTCAGGTCCAATCTGATCGTACGTGCAAAATTCCATAATACTGATATTACACATTTGGTGCACAATAAAAGGCAAATCGGACGAAGATATATATGGGAGCTATATCTAAATTTTGACCGATTATCTCCAATTTCAATAGGGTTTGTCCTTGGGCCAAACAAATGAATTGTCCAAAATTTCATCTGGATAGGAAAATAAATGCGAACTGTACTTTGTTTACAAAAATACATGGACAGACGGACGGACGGACGGACATGTATAAATCGACTCAGAATGTGATTCTATGCAGATCATCAAAAGGAACTATGGGTCTATCTCGTTTCCTTTTGCCTTTTACAAACAAATGCACAAATACATAATACCCTGACCACCTTGTGGTGTAGGGTATAAAAACAAAATTAAAACAAGTTAAAATACAATAAGTTCCGGGCCGGGCCGAACTTTGAATACCCTCCACCATTTGAAACGAATTTGAAAATATAATCCTTAAAAAATTCTTCATATTGGGGTCTATACGACGTGGACCTACATAGACTTTTTTTGTCAAAAGCCATTACCATACTCAAATTTGAAACTTGAAATAAACGGTGAATAATTTAGCTAAAATCATCAAAATATCGTATATAGGGAGGTACCGTTATATCGAAGCTGTGCGAAGACCTGTACCAGCATATTAATTACGAACTTCAAATACGACATCTCAAACAATTTCGGTGGGTATTGTACCTAAACTCGTCAAAATACCGAATATAGGGAGGTACTGATATATGGGGCCTATACGAAGACCTATACGAACTCTAAATACGTAATTTGAAACTACTCCGCTAAAATCATCAAAATACCGAATATAACGAGGTACCGTCATATGGGGCTATACGAAGACGTGGAACTGAACAGACAATTTTCTGTCTTAGGCTGTAGTATCCATTTCGAACTTGCATTACCAAATTTGAAAAAAATCCGTTTGTAACTCATCGAAATAAAAATTTTAGACCCAACAAAGTATATATATTCGTGATCAGCGTAAAATTCTAAGACGATTTATCCCAGTCCGTCCGCCTGTACGTCTGTTGTAATCACGCCACAGTCAAACCGAATTAAGATAGGAAGGCAAAATTTTGCACATATCAGTCTCTTGTCTGCAGGCAGGTCAAGTTCGAAGATGGTCCACAATATCGTATAGCCCCCATATAACGGTACACCCGGTATTCGGTATTTTTATGATTTTCACCACATTTATCAATGGAATTGTCGGAAATTCTACTTAAGGAGTTCTTTGTGAGTACTTTACCCTCAGCCATAGATTTGTCTAGGTCCACAATATCGTATATCCTCCCAATATATCGGCACCTTATGATATTCGGCATTTTTAAGATTTTAGCAGAATTATCAATGGATTTTATTTTGTTGAATATTTCTAATTCATTCCAATTGGTGGAGGGTATTCAAAGTTCTGCCCGGCCGAACTTACTGCTTTTTTATTTGTTCTTTCTGTTGCGGTGTAAGTTTTTGGACTTTCTGGAATTTCAACGGATTTACCCCGAACTCATTTTTCAATATTTGCCGAATGGAATATTGCGATATGTTCAGCTCACGAGCCATTTTCCGGCCACTGAGACGCGGGTTTCGATTAAGTCGCTTCTTCACTTTTCGAACTGTTTTCTTCCGACCACTTTCTTGAAGTCAGGTTACGCTACCAGTATCACGGTAACGAGCGATGGTACGAGACACAACAAAACAAAAAATATTAACATTTAAATGCTGGAGTGCTCTAACGATAGCCACTTGTGATTTTCGAGCCAAATATAAAGAAGTCACGCTTGAATTCCATCACGAATAACTTATTTTATGGAAAGTTCTCACCAAAATGCTTTTGTACGCTTGTAAACAATATAATAAGCTGTCACTGGAATAATTTTAACAGCTGTCGGACAAGTGGCTTGGAAATGACAGCAGTCTGAAGTTGGTTGCAGTGTTTTCACCTCACCCTATATTGACCCTCTTCTCCAATATTAACTCAGTTTCTATGTCTTTGTGCATTTCTTGTAACAGGCAAAAGGACGAGGTAGACCCACAGTTCCTTTTGATGATCTGATCCGATTTATGCATGTCCGTCCGTCTGTCCATGTATTTTTGTAAACAAAGTACAGGTCGCATTTAATATTCGATCCAAATGAAATTTTGCACAAGTCAATTGACACAAGGACGAACCATATAGAAATTTTAGATCAAAATTTAAATATAGCTCCCATATACATCTTCGTCCGATTTGCCTTTTATTGTGCACCAAACGTGTAATATCAGCCCAAATAGTATGGAATTTTGCCATATACGACCAAATTAAGCCAGGAAATAAGTATGCCAAATTTGGTCGAAATCGGTTCAGATCTGGATATAGCGCCCATATATATTATTCATCCGATTTGTTATTTTTGTTCTCCGCAGCCGTAATATGCACTCTGTAACAACAATAATTGGGGAAATATATCAAATGCAGCTCAAAACAAGTAAGCAAAGGCTACAGTCGAGCGGGGCCGACAGTTGAATACCCTACAACATTATAATAAACGATACATTTTATATAGGCGAGATACTCGAAAGAATTCCACAAGATATTGTGAAAAATAATAAAAGAAAACCATCAGGTTTTTGACTGAAACGCATCTATATGAGATACAGACATTTGACTATATTCTTCAACGAAATCAGCATTAACGAAATAGTCTTTCCTGTATTTGTGAATTCTCCAAGAAGTCACTGTAATGGACATTTTCGTATTTTGTCTACAAAAGTTGGCAAACTATTTCACACATTGAATATTTTTGGATGGCCATCCAAAACTGCTTGGCTTTTGCAATGTCCGGTAACCCCCATTCAAATGTGCGTGAGGATCGGGCGATAATTACGACCTGCTGACAATTTTGCAGTTTTTGGTCCATTTCAACCCCTAAATATATGGCAATCATCTCCAAAAAGAGTAGGCTTCTATTCTGACCCTCATCTGATCCCCATGCAAAATTTCGTTAGGATCGGACCATAAATGCGATCTGTATATGATATCCTAACTACTTAGTTTTGTTAGCTGTACAAATATTACCAAATGTTTAATTCAAAATGAAAATATGCCAAAAATATGACAAAATTGAAAAAATATGAGAAAATTTTACAAAATCAATATTTTCATCTTTAGAGAGATATTTTTATGCGATTTTTAGACGTTTTTTCTTTCCTGCCAAGAGGCCATTCTGAATTAATGAGAACTGTCGAAATCAGTTCAGCCGTTCTCGACATATAAGAGATCTTTCAAGCATATCTTCTTTGATAGACATATATATCGCACATATTTTGCTATATATCCGATTTGTTGGATGTTAACATCAATGTAAAGGTCAGAAGTAACCTTGTCATGGCTTTATGATTTCGCCGGGATTTAAAATATTCACGGTTTAATGAAAAATTTTGAATTTTTTCAACACAAAAGATATGGTCTATTTTACCCGCTAAATATTATCCGATGGCCACCCAAATTGGTAGGCTTCTTCCCCGCCCTAAACTCTAGCTACATGCGCGTCGATTGGTCTATAATTGCGACTTTTATAGCAACTTCAAAATCAGGAATTTTTTCAGTTTTTTTTATCATCTCCAAAAGAAATAGGGTTCTATTCTGACCCTAGCCCCACCTCCATTCTAAATTTCGTGAAGATCGGGCCATAATTGCGACCTGTAGAGTGATTACAAATTAACATGGACACACGGACAGATGGACGGACGGACATACATAGCTAGATCGACTCAGCTCGGCGAGCTAGGAAGATCCATATATACTTTCCTATATGGGAAACCAATATTTCGAGGTGTTACATAAATTCTGGCCCAATCAAACTTATAATACCCCCAATACATAGTGTTGTAGGGTATAAATACCTTTTCCAAATTTTATGGAGATCGGCTCAGATTTGGATATAGCTTCAATATATATCTGTGTCCAAACGTGTAATATTAGCCCAAATGGGATGGCTTTTGACACTTACGATCAAAGTTAACCTAGAAACAAGTATGCCAAATTTGAAATATAACTGTAGCTCTCATATATATTTTTCATCCGAAGTGTTATATTTTTATACCCTCCAACATGGAGGAATTTCTGTTAAAATAATTAAAAATTATGTCTACAAATGTCAGTTATTTTAATAACAAATTCAAAAAAAAAAACTTCCCCTCCAATTAGCAGCTGCATTTCATCAGATTTTCTCAAATAACCTTCGAAGGGAGACAATTTCGGTGTCGGCATAACTAAAATACGCATGAAATTCCTTTACAAATTGTAACCGGATGTTATTGTAAGAGAAGTAACAAAAAATATCCTGTTGTGGCAGTCATATGCAAATTAGCGAGATTTTCTTAATAATTTCTAGCGTCATCTGCCACACCATGGGCCATACATCTTCTTAGGTGTAGCTGTAAACATTAATTAGAATTATAATTGAATGGAGGTCACAAAAGGAACGTGTGAGCAGCTTAATGAAGGGTTGTTCGAGATGTCAAGGTGTACCATAGCGGATTCTCAAGGTGTGAGTCTTTTACAACAGCAACAAAAAACAAAGCGGCAGCAGCAGCTTATTTATGTTGCCAATTGAATTGGAGTTTTTGTTCTTCTTATTTTTCTAACCAAAAATTACTTTTGAATTATTTTGTTTGAAGAGCAAGTTCAGTTTGTTTGTAGAAAAGATAAATTGTTTGTAAAATGGTTTTGTGTGTGTGTGTCAGTCAGTGTTATACAATACTGTACGTGCCGTACATGACAAGTGACATGTTATGAGAGTTTCTTACGGATGTTCGTTGTGACAGAGGAGTAATGTTTCCAAAAAATATGTTGTTGGTGATTTTCCATTGCGTTTCCACTACGAACGTCAACAAGGGTTAATTTAAGTGAATTCGTCCTTTTTGGAACGAAAAAAAAGGTCTGAAGGTAGGTAATTTGCATTTAATCTTCATTTAATTTCCATTTCGTTTTGATGATTTCTGTTTTCAATAAACGTCGTTCTGTAAGAATAAATTTTTGTTTATCGGGACTTGTGACCCGTATACCCTTGAAAAAGGATGCCATTTATGTGGATAAATTATTTTGATGGATATTCTGATTCATTCTCATCGAAAATGAATTTGTTTATTAAAAAAAAAACTCGAAATAAAATTGTGAATTAGCATCTTTTGTATTGAAATTTTTCGATTTTTCTGTACTTGAATACTAATGTAGGCTGCTGAATATACGTTTGTCCAAAAGTATTACGATTCTATACCCTATACCATGGTATGGAGGTTATATTAAGTTTTTCACTCTATTTGTAGCACCTCGGAATATACATTTTAGGCCCTTAAATGAATATTCTTAATCACCATAAAGTTCTATGTCGATTTAGCCATGTCCGTCAGTCAGTCCGTCTGTGGAAATCGATCTAGCTTCCAAAGGAAATGAAGTAGGTTGATAAACTTCTATAAGGTCTGCACGATGTTTATAGCATGCACCACACTGTGGTCAGGGTATTATGTATTTTTGCATATTTTTGTAACATGGAGATTGAAGCGAGATAGACCCCTAGTTCGGAAAACAGACCCCTAGAATTAAACTCGGGTTGATTTATGCTTGCCGGTCCGTCCGTCTGTCTGTTCATGTATTTTTGTAAACAAATGTCACGTATTTATTGTCCGATTAAGTAGAAATTTTGTATAAATAATTTGTTTGACACAAGGACTAACTGTATTGAAATTTGAGATAATCGGTCAAAATTTAGATATACCTAACATATATACATTTATCCGATTTGTCACTTATTGTGCACCAAATGTGTAATATTCGTCTAAATAGATTGGAATTTGACCCCTATGATCAAATTGAGCCCAAAATCAAGTATGTCAAATTTGGTGAAAATAAGTTCAGATATAGCTACAGCTCTCTGATGTATATTGATCAACCGATTTGTTATTTTTGTCCTACGCAGCCGTAATATGCACCCTGTAATAACGATATTAGGGGAAATATATCAAATGCAGCTCAGAAATAACTTTGCTAAATTTTATCGAGATCGATTTAGATTTTGATATAAGCTCTCATATATATCTTCGTCCGATTTGCCTTTTATTGTGCACCAAACGTGTAATATTAGCCCAAATGAAATGGAATGTGGCACTTACTTACTTACACTTACTTAAAATGTATATCATAATCGGCGCAAATCGGTTCAGATATAGCTATAGCTCCCATATATTTTGTTCATCCGATTTGTTATGTTTGTCCTCTACAGCCATAATATCCACTCCATACTAACGATATTCCGGAATAAATATATCAAATAAAGTTAAGAAATACTTTTGACAAATTTTATGGAGATCGGCTCAGATTTGGATGTAGTTGTCATATATATCCTTATCCGATTTTAAGTTTATTTATTTATGCACCAAATGGTTGATGCAAGTCAAACTTGGTGAAAAATCGGTTCAGATATAGCTATTCCCATATTTATGTTTCATCCGATTTTATATTAAAGTCCCTTGCAATCGTAAAATGCGCTCTACAACAACGATATTTGACTGTCAGCTATCGGATACAACATAGAATTCATTATGCTAATTCATTATGGTTTCAGAATAAATGCCGAATATTATTGCGTAAATATTCTGGAGGGTGTATTAAAGCCTTGGGCACACAAATATATTGGCCACAGACCTTGGACGTTCCAACAGGACTCAGCACCATCAAACTCAGCACGCGCCACAAAAGAATGGTTACAAAATAAGGTTCCTCGCTTCATTTCCAGTGCACAATGGCCACCAAAATCTCTGAATACCAATCCGTTGGACTATTGTGTCTGGAATATTTTGGAAAGCAAGTTTCGATCGCCTCAAGAAAGCGCTTCGCCAGGAATGGGCCAAAATACCGTAGAACAACATTCGGGCAGGGTGTGACTGTTTTATTGGCCGTTTGAAGGGCATAATTCGTGTCAAAGATGACCAATTCGAACAAATCTAAACTTATTTTAAAATTTGATGCTATTTCCGACATTTTTTGCGTTCATTCAATAAAATTAAAAAAAATGTAAAAATGATGGCCTTTGACTTTGTTGCAGTGCTTTTATCTCACGTTCATTAAATGCGAAGTAAGCACCGATTTTCTTTGAATTTCACACATAACAATATTTTTTTTTTAACAAATGATCTGGTGTGAAGATGGATAATATATACGTCGTCTTCGTCTCGTTTTTCCCCCACAACGAGTCAAAATTTTTAAAAATTATATGTCTCATAAAATGCGAAATAGACATCTGATTCATGGTTAACTTCACATATTCCAATATTTTTATTAACAAAAAATCACATATGAAGATGAGGTATATCGGCCTCCGCCTTCTGGTACCTCCCTCACAAATATTCCAAAATTTTGAATAACGAAATGCTCATAAATTTTCTTTCATTCCAGTATTTTTACTTGCGCAATATCTGGCATGAAGATGGGATGTATCGGACGAACTTTTTTTGGTAACCCCACCATAAAGTGGCTAATTAAAGTCTTGCATCTACATCGGCAAGTCATCGTATTTTATTAAATTATTCTTCGGATGCCTACACTCAGTGTTGACGTTGGTCAATACTTGGTAGTTAGCAAAGTAAATTCTTTTGATTTATAACCATTTTTTAGAACTTTGTAACTCACTGGAATCGCAGAGAGTAGTTCGTTTGCAATTCCTTTTAATGGGTTATTGGTCTCATACAGCCTCCAAGTATATGCTGTTTGGTGTAAAATATCGGCCCATTTCTTCTGGTACCTCTCCGACAAACAGTCAAATTGTTCAGAAATGATAATCTATATGTATAATACGAAGAGTTCACAAAGTAGGCCTTACCTTAAAAGTAGTAGACCTCTCAAAATCTTAAAACAGATTTCAGTCAAGATTACAATATTTTAAAACAAAATGAGTTTGTATGAATTGTAAAATTTAAGCCTTTTCTATGACATACATGTTTATCTTGACTTGTAAATAACATTTTTTTGGACTCATGAAGTCAGTGGAGATTTCCAAAACGACTTGGCTTAGCTCATCAAAAATTCACCAGCATGTTACTTATAAACTTATTCAATTTCAAATGCCTATTCATTCTAGACTATTATGTGAGATCCCCTTTTCAAAATGTATATATATATATTACTAGCTGGCCCGGTCCCCGTTGCCGGCCCGTAGTTTTAGTCTTTAATGCAAATTTTGCATAGCATAATATTTCACAAATCTAGCTCATAAAGGTGAACAAATTTTAATATAAATATTGATTCGACTAAATAGAAATAAATAACTATGGAAGGAGGGCAAAATAATTTCTGAATAGTCAAAGTTAATTACGCTCTTACACCCATTACCATAGCACCTCAAATTGGGCATTAGAGTCCCCAGAAAGTCTATGTACTTGTTCATAGTAAATTTCAATGACGATTAAACAATACCCGCGTTGTTGTCCGCCAATCGGTAAACATCACTATAGATCGGCGGGCCTGGGGACTGTACCAAAATATTTACGTATGTTGACATTTTCTGTAAGATGGTTCTCTACTCACAAAGTAGCCTAAATACAGCAAATAATGGCCAAATCAGTTGAAAAACGTGGCCAAGACCACGGTCACAGCTGAAATCGGGGATACATTTATATAAGGGTTAAACCAAAACGTGGCCCAACCAATATTCTCTTGGGGGTTACAAATTCAATAGAAAACAAACTTTTCTTTTCTGACCACCAATTAGATGTGAAAGTGGGATACTCCAATGTGGGGACTTTACTTAAATAAATTCCTATGTGGCAATTATCTGTATGATGGTTCCCTACCCCAGGGTAGCATAAATACAATTTTTAGCCAAATCAATTAATGAATGTGGTCAAGACCAAAATGGGTCCTACTCTGAAAATTTCAAACTTTATACGAAGAAGTTCTCTACCCCATTAGAAACAAATAATGGCCAAAATATTAAAAAAGTGACCAAGACACCAAAAATAGCTTAAATCATACGATGGTTATATAAATATGAAATCGGGTTGTACCCTTATCCGTGAGTTATGATTGATATCATGACCTGCAAAAGCTATTTAAGGTATCTTGAATGTTTGGGAAGAATTTCTGGAAGGATAGAAATCCTTTTCTTACTAAGAGTCCCATTCGCTCTACTATTTTCCACCATTTATATTTGGTATTTTTCTGAATGTTCATTGGACGGATTATTGTGACAGGAAAGAAGTAGTTCCACGCTTTGAAATGAGCCCCATTAGGCTTTTTCGGTAATTTTTGTTTTTTCAAATGTGTTCGCATCTTCCAGCTGAACCACGATTTCGGCCCTGGAGTTGAAAGGTAGATGTCAGTTAACATCGTATTTCCCACTTATTTCATTTTTTGATGAAAATTTGTATATAGTGAAAAATTATTCTTTATTTTGTTCACAAAAAATTAGATAATACAAATTGAGAAAAATTGACAAAAGAAGAATAACACATTGAAAAAATCTTCAACTTGTTCGCTGATTTTTTACAGCAAATGTTTAAAGATCCTTATATAGTTTGTCAATAGAATGTACTTCTATTTTAAAATTCGATTCCATTAAATTATTTCGACATCATCTATTCCGTTTCGCCACCACATAATTCGGTACTACACTTCCATATAATTCGGCATCAATTTCATTTCTCAAGAAATCAAGTCAATTAAATAAATTGG